TAGAGCTTATAACTAATGACTTATAATTGAAAAAATAGCTTTTATGATAAAATATTTGGTAAAAAATAATTGATAAGCTAGTTGAAATAAATATTTCAACGAGCTTATTTGAAAAGGTATTCAAATAAGTTTTATGAGATAAGTTCGAACTTTTAAAAAAAAAAAAAAACTCAAACCGAACGGAGTTTATTTAAATGCCGAAATGTATAAACTAATCAAATAATAGCTTATTTGTCTACCAAACATAGCCTAAATGGTAGTAAATTCGACTTCCACAAACAACAATAGTTAACGTTTTATATTGTGTGGAAATTGTCAAATTATTTACATCATTTGTTGTTTACCATGACAAAGTCAAAATCTATAGTATAAAACTCTGTTCTAAAAGTCGGCTTAAGCGCTGGTCGGTGCTTGCCGCCTCCGATTTGCATAAGTCGGCTGAAAAATTGATCAGACGCATACCTATGCGGGCCTGACAGGCTCAGCGGCCAGGCGGCTTGGCGGTGTCTAGGCGGGCTCGGCGAAATTTTTTTAATTTTTTTTAATTGTTTTAAATAATAATTACATTATTTTGTTATCATTTATTTTCATAATATACTAATATTATTATTTGGACTAGGAGTGTTGATTTATTATAAGTTGAGATAGTTTTATTTTATATGTATTGAAAATAAATAAAAAAAAAAAAGGTATTTAATCTAAATTTCTAGGCTTCGTCTAGGCGCCGACTGGGCCCCGCCTAGACGCTAGGCACTGGTTGAGCGCCTAGCGACTTCTAGAACACTGGTACTATAAAAGGACTATAGTTGTACATTAGCCAACCAATCTCAAATCTTATCGAGTCTAGTTCGACTCATTAAGTTAACGAGCTCAAAACTAGTTGAATTATATTCTAATTTTATAAAATTACGTCAAAACTAACCCTTATTATGAAGACTAACACTCTTTAACGAATCAACTCAAGTTGTACTCGATTTTAACAAACCGAGTCGAGCTCACGAAGCGACTTATTTAGTTGAAAAAAAGAATATAGAGTTTGGGCCATTCGGATAACTTTGACCATGACAGGATCATTTAATTTTGCAACATTATTGTGGAGTAAACGTTACCTAATTCCTATGTTTAGCCCATCTATGCTACAACATTAATTAGTTTATACATATACAAGTGGTCCATATTACACTCCATACTTATTACACTCTCACATGGGTTTTCGCAATTTTAACCCGTAATCCCAAATCTATATATATAATTACTGGCATGTGGCATTTAATAAAACATTTAATAAAATCTCTAAAATTTTCCCTCTATTTTCGGTTACAAAATTTGTCATTAATATTTTTTACTTCTCGCATTAATACATCATAATGAGTGTAATCATGTATGTTTCTATTATATTATATAATAATTATTGCTAATACTAACTAATAATAATTCACAATAAATCTGAGTTACATAATTATAAACAATTGTTTCAAGTTATGTATTCTAACATCAATATTAACTTTTTCTTTTGTATTTCATAAAAAAAAAATTAAAAACAATTAGTAAATTGTTATAATAGTATAGTTAAACAACTTTAAAATCTTATAATAGTTGTTTTTATTAATATATATATATAATATATATATATATAATTGCTAGCTTAGCATTTAATTTTACCTATTTAAAAAAACCTCTAAAATTTTCCCTCTATTTTCAGTTACAAAATTTATCATTAATATTTTTTTACTTCTCACATTAACACATTATATTAAGTGTAATCATGTATTAGTCTATTATAATATATAATAGTTATTGCTAATAACAACTAATAATAATTCACAATAAATATAAATTACATAATTATAAACAATTGTCTCAAGTTATTTATATTAACATCAATATTATCTTTTTATTTTGTATCTCATGAAAAAAATTCCTTAAAAACAATTAGTAAATTATTTTAATAGCATAGTCAAACAACTTTAGAAACTTATAAACAATTATTTTTTTTTAATAATAATAATAATAATAATAATAATAATAATAATAATAATAATAATAATAATAATAATAATAATAATAATAATCAAACTATTATTATCTAATGATAGTAAACAATTGATCATAATAATAAAATCGTTAATTTATTTTTCCTAATGATCAAATTTTTGAAAATGTAATTTGTTC